TTCCAGTGTTAATATAAATAATAATGGGGATAATGGACATCCTTGTCTTGTGCCTTGTTTATTTTAATATTAAAGTGTTCTGTAAAGTCTCCATTTACAATTACTTTAGCTATTTGTCTATGATAAATTATTTTAATTATATTTGTAAAATTTTCTCCAAAATCCATTTTATTTAGTTCTTGAATCATAAACTTCCAATTTACATTATCAAAAGCCTTCTGTGCATCTAGGAATATTAGCACCATCTGCTTCCTTGGGTGCATTTCATAGTATTCCAAAATATCTAAGATCATTCTTAAGTTATTTTTTATTTGTCTCTTAGGTAAAAATCCATTTTGGTCTGTATGTATAAATTCAGTCAAAGTTTTCTTTAATCTTTCTGCTATTATTGAAGCAAAAATGTTATAGTCCACATTTAATAGAGATATTGTTCTATAATTCTTTATCTGCATCAAATCTGAGTCTTCTTTAGGTATTAAAGTAATGTTGGCTTCTACCCATGTTTTTGGTATTTTAGCCTCTAAGAGTACTTCATTACACAGTTCTTTCATTACTGGGCTTAATGTATCTTGTAGACGTTTATAAAATTCTGGAGGTAGCCCATCTTGGCCCAGAGTCTTATCATTTCTTTGCCTTTTTATAGCTTCTATTACCTCCATCAATATTTTTTCATTTAGCATGTTTTGTATGTTCTCGGAATTTTTGGTAACTCAGCCATGTAAGTTATAGCTAACCCTCTAAAGTATGCTTTAGCCGTATCCCATACATTTTGAATTGATATCTCTTCTTTTTTGTTTATTTTAAAGAAAAATTCCATTTCCTTTGTTGCTATTTGTATAAATTCTTTCTCTTTCAGTAAAGATTGGTTCAGAGACCATCTTAATTTTTTCTTAGTTCCTCTCTAGATCATCTTTATCAAATTGTGGTCTGCCCATATATTGGTTTCTAGCTCAATCTCTTGTATAATTATACTTAATTCAGGAGGTATCCATATCATATCAATTCTGGACCATGATTTATGTCTGTTTGAGTAAAATATATATTGTGGGTTTTTTGGATTCTTTTCTCCATATATCCTGTATAGAGATTTTTTTCTGCCATTTTAAAGAAAGTTTTAGGTAATATGTTTCTTCCTTTTTGCCCTATTTTACTGCTTCTGTAATCCAGCTTCCCATCAATCCATTTATATTCATTGAGAAAATCCCATTTTCTTTCTTTATCTCCTTCAGTTATAATAATAATAATAATAATAGTAAAGTTGGAAGGGACCTTGGAGGTCATCTAGTCCAACCCCCTGCTTGGGCAGGAAACCCTACACCATTTTGGACAAATGGCTGTCCAGTCTCTTCTTAAAAACTTCCAGTGTTGGAGCATTTACTGCTTCTGGAGGCAAGCTGTTCCACTGATTAATTGTTCTCACTGTCAGGAAGTTTCTCCTTAGTTCTAGGTTGCTTCTCTCCTTGATTAGTTTCCACCCGTTGCTTCTTGTCCTGCCTTCAGGTGCTTTGGAAAATAGCTTAATTCCCTCTTCTTTATGGCAGCCCCTGAGATATTGGAACACTGCTATCATGTCCCCCCTTGTCCTTCTCTTCGTTAAACTAGACATACCCAATTCTAGCAACCGTTCCATATATGTTTTAGCCTCCAGTCCCCTAATCATCTTTGTTGCTCTTCTCTGTACTCTTTCTAGAGTCTCAACATCTTTTTTACATCGTGGTGACCAAAACTGGATGCAGTATTCCAAGTGTGGCCTTACCAAGGCATTGAAGAGTGGTATTAATACTTCACGTGATCTTGATTCTATCCCTCTGTTAATGCAGCCTAGCACTGTGTTGGCCTTTTTGGCAGCTGCAGCACACTGCTGGCTCATATTTAAGTGATTGTCTACTAGGACTCCGAGGTCCATCTCACAGTTACTACTATTGAGCATGGTGCCACCTATGCTGTACTTGTGCATTTGGTTTTTCTTGCCTAAATGTAGAACCTTGCTAAATAAAACCTATTTAGGTTTTATTCTTCTAGTTGTTCTTATCTGTCTTGCTTTTGCCCCTTCTTCTGTATTTTTCTTCCTCTATCCTTGGTTTGGCTGCTCCTTCTATTGCTGCCTCTTCCTGTTTCTTTGTTTCTTTTTCTGCACAAAATTCTGGACTTTCCCCTTCCAGAAATGCTTTGTATCTCTCATAAAATTCCATTGCCTTAAGTGCAGTGTCCAATCTGTATCTTTTCATGTCCCAATTAATTAAAATCCCTTCTGGAATCAGCCATCTAAAGTTCACTCCTTTTTCTATTAATTTTCGAGTCAGGAATTGATATTCTCTTCATGAATCTCTTATTCTCTTGGGGATCTGTTTCCCGATTTCCAGTGCTTCAGCCAATAGCTCTGTCATCAAGTCTGCGAGGTCCTCTTCTTTATCCTCCATTGTATTTTGAAATCTTAAGAAGTAAAATTCCTTTTCCATTTTCAAAATTGCCATTATATCTTCCAGTTCTCTATTTGCCTACATTAGCCTCTGGTTTTCATCTTTTATTTCTTCCATCTTTTGATCAGTTTCTACTGCCTTGTCTTCTATTTTCTGAATTCTTTGTTCATTTTTTGTAACCATCTGTCTAAAGCTTTCTAATTGAGAGTTTATGTTATGTTATGGATTTCTTGATTCATTTTAATAAAGTTGTCTTTTGTCTCATAATTTTTCCTTGTATCTTCTTTGTGAGAGGAAATTGCCTCTTGGATTGCTTAAATGTTACTTGCATCTCCTTCTGAAAGTTGTTAGATTTTTCTTGTTGAAGCATTGATTCGATTCATCTCTGGTATACGGGGCTTGGAGAGGCAGAGGATGGGGCTGAGTGTGTTTTCTTGCCACTTTTAGTTATATTCAGAACCACTCATTTTGTTTCTACCTCCAAATCTAATTTCTAATATTTGATTGATAAGGCAGGGAGTTCCAAAAATATGTCTAGTTTTTTTTATTCATTATACTAACACTTTTAACTGTGCAAATCATGGATTTCCTTTAAAAGCACATAGCCATGTCTTTAAAGATACTTAAAATTTGTTCTCGTCTACACAGCTCAGGTTTGTAGAAAAATATTTAGGATGATTGGGATAAAAAAAGAGAATGGATATGGAACAACTAAATGGCTCAAATATATAGCAAAGTTATATAATAATTAGATAAATAAAAGGATGGTAACTAATTTTGCTCCAAATTTGATTCTACATAGATTCTAATTTCTATGAAAATACATCATGATAAATGAAGAAATGTAGAAGAAATAAAGATTGGAATTAAAATTGCTGGAAGAAGCAGTTTACCTCAAATGTTGCTATTGACTGAAAGTAAACAGAGCTTAAAGAATTCATTATGCCAGGTGCAAAAGCTGATCTACTACTCAATACTGAATAAACAAACAAAAACTTTAAATTTTGTGCCATGCCAAACCAATCCAGAAAAACTGAGATAATAACAGACTGTCAGAAAATCATAGTGAAGAAAAATTTATGCCTTTGGTTTTGATTGCAGAGAAATTGTTGAACATACCTTGGAGGGCAAGTAGAAGAAATTATTCAATATAAACAAAATAAAACTAAACTATTAATAATAATGAACTAAAACATAAATATTTTGGACATTAAATGAAAAGGCAAAAGTTCAACAAAGATCCTGTTTTTGAAAAAAAAATGAAAATAGTTGAAAAACAGGCTAACTGAAGACCAAGTATCAAGACTGATGATACAAACAAGAAACTACAAGAAATTCAAGCAAACTATTACTGACAAAGAATCCCTGACAAAATGATGCCATCAGATTGCTACACAACAACAAATCTTTAAGCTTCTTATTTGTATATGCCACACACACACACACACACACACATACACACACACAAATATAAAATATAAAAAAAAAAGGTGCCGAAACTCACACAAGTCATACAACCCGCCTTGCCTACCCTACAAAGTTCCATCCCAAAAAGGTGCCGGAACTCCATTTTGGGTGTTCTATGAGAAAAAAAGCTGTCTCTCTCTGTGTGTGTGTTTATGATTCTGTAGATTCAGTTCTACTTTCAGTCATCAATCTGTAAGAGATATATCATTTTTTGGCATATACCAAAATACAATGTCCAGAAGAACTAGTAGTTAATAAAAGGAGAAATACGAGTTTGAGAATATGAGTGTGAAAGTGAAACAGGAGATTTTGGGGGGAAATAAAAACTGTAGTTAGTTTTATTTTGAGAAATTGATATAAATGAACCAAAAATTTGGCATCACATTATTAGTAATGTAATTAACTGTATGGCAAGAATATTCAACATTCAGAATGTGGAATCATGAGGTAGCCTTTATGGCCATTAACTCATAATATTAAATATAATTGCATTGTAGAGAGTTGGGATAACTATCTTTGGGGATACAGACTAAATTCAATAGAAAATAGAGATATGGAACACATTCCTCTTGCCAGGTTTTTCCAAAGCACGAGAATGGGGTTTTACAACACACTAAATTTCATTCTACTTTCCCCCTTTCACCAAGATCATTTGTATGTTCAAGCCCGAAAGTAAACATAATATTGATATATTTAATATTTTTAAAAATATTGAATTGACTTTTAATTTGAAAATTATTTCAATTATTTCAACAAGCATTCAGTTCAAGTAGTTTAATTTTGATTTGATTCTAAATGAGACAAAATATTTGTACATGGACCTGGACTAAAGTCAGTTGTGCTCCTTGTCTAGAATGTACTAGTGTTCTTTGATTTTGAATTTTGCCTCATTCTCTGTATGTCCTCCAGATCTGCTCTGAATAGATTTGCTGGGTGCATTGAAAAGGTGGAGGAGAGCCCAGGGATGTTACATGAAGTGGGTTCACTTAAAATTAACAGTGTTCTATTTTTTAACCATTTGATCATAATTATAGATAGAACTTTAAAAGTAAGGAAGCTATATTTACCTAAAAAAGGCAAGTAAATTTCCCATTTTATCCTTTTCTCTTATAGGCCTTCTGCCCCAGCTTATTCAGACTTACCATTCATCAGAATATCTTCTCACAGAAATCCTGCTACAGCATCAGAATCACCTTTTAGTGCACCTCATCCATACATTAACCCTTATATGGATTATATCCGATCATTACACAGCAGCCCTTCTCTCTCCATGATCTCAGCTGCTCGGGGACTAAGTCCTACAGATGGTGAGTTAAAATTTGGTTTCCTGTTTGCTGTTGTAGTTGCATGATGGATGCTAGTCTTTGATGGTAATACAGATTGATGTGATTTGATAGTTGCATTAATTTTCTGAAAGCATTCATTTCAATCACTTGCAGATTCATTACATAATTACTACATCATAATTGTTTTAGTATTTTATTATCTTAAGGCCAGTCATTTATACATTACATTTTGGTTATTTTTAAAATAGAAGTAAACAAAAATACATGACTTTTATCCTGCTCAAATTATAAATATAAGGAGAAATTCTTGATTTAGCAAGACCAGGCTGTTTTAGGGCACACTGTGATAAGAAATGAGAAATATTTTTTATCTATTTTCTATAGTAGTTTGATAACTTGAAAAAAAAATAGAATTTTTCTCAAGTTGAATTGTTTTGGAAAGGTGATGTAAAAAGAAATTTAGGGAAGTAAAATACTACTGTTATCATGAAGGAATAAATTAATTTAATCCTTCTAGATAACAGTAAAACCAGCAAAAGTTATGACAATTTATCGGATTTGCTAAACAAGGTCCTTTTCTACAGTATTGATGATTATAGTTGTAGAGATTCCTGAAATGGGTGTTTGTGTGTTTGATGCAAGAAGAAGAAAAATGGCTTTTGAATCCCTGCATATATAGTTATCCCATTCATTGATTCAATACAAAAATGGAAGATACATTAGTACTGGGCTTTTCTCCACAGGATTCAGTCCTGGCCCAATTAGCAATAGCATTTAGGCTTATATACCCCTCCACAGCGCTTTACAGCACTCTCTGGATGGTTTACAGTGTAGTTGTAGTACATTGCCCCCAACAATCTGGGTCCTCATTTTACCAATCTCAGAAGGGTGGAAAGCTGATTCAACCTTGAGCCCTGTCAGGATCAAACTGCAGGATGTGTGCAGTTTGTCTGCAATACTGAATTTTAACCACTGTGCTACCAGAGCTCTAATTATGATTGTCCTTGATGTAAAATTAGAGATCCTCTTATTATTAATTTCGTTGTGAGCTACACAGTGACAATAAAGATATTCTATTCTATCAGTACCACCTATTCTTTAAATGATCTGAGGTGAGATGATTGTTGTTATTGTTACTATACTGCTTTGATTCAATCCATCCATCTTTTTGATGAATCCATACAATAAACCTCAGGGAATATAAAGAAAGTTTTATCACCCATTTGATTTGCAGATTTTATCTATTTTTAGTATATATATATATATATTCAGCATTACATCATTTAAAATCCAAGCCACATGATGAATATATTCATAAAAAATAATAACTGTAACAAATACTTTTGTGAAAACCTTTCTGGTAACAATTCATTACATAAATAGACTAAATTACCATGTTTGCTTATATTTCATAGTTTCTAATAACAGCCAGTAATAAAATCAAAAATATGCATCCCTGGATAACTAAAAGATTATTAATTCAATTTGTGAGAACAAATCCTTAAAAATTTACTTAAAGTAAAATAGCATTTATATATTGCAGAGGAATAAATGATTGCTGGTGTTATCTAGGTTCACAAATAACATTAAATCATAAATAATGTGTTAGAAAATATCATGATTGGTTTTCCTTGTCATGCTAAGCCAAAATGAAACAATGTGTGAATCACACATTGACTTTACTAGAAATTTCATCTCCAGCATAAGCATATTCATTTTTTGGTTGTTGCTGTGTTAAATTAACTGCAGTTTAAATGTTGCCTAATGGTAATTGCTGCTAAATTGAGTTATAATGGCTCAAATTATGTTGGTGGTATGCATTGAAGACAACAAAACTATTTTAATTAAGGGAAAAGTCATTCATAGAACAGAATAAAATAGCAAGTTTATAAAACAGATATTCTTTCTTTAACTGGATTTGAAAAATGAATTGTTCTTATTGCCTAAATGGATAAACCATATAAGTAATCCTCATTTATAAAAGTATATAGTTAATCCATTACTTAGTCATACTTGTTCTTATGAGAATAAGTTTTAATGACCTGGCATTGTATTGCTTAAACATTTGTTAATCCCCAAAAGTTATATTAAGAATCCCATAAATAAGTGTCTAATGTTATCAAGCAATTGTTAAACAATAAAATCTGATTTTAAAAATATGACGCTTTCAGATATCGGATTAACTATAATTAAATGGGATCTCTAAAATTTTTGTACTTTTACATTTTCATGTTTCTATAAGAACTATATAATATTTTAAATTTATCATCTGGCTTTGGGTACTAGTAGACTTGTATCTTGAATCAGATACAATTTACTATATATCTTTAAATGAATATATGTGTATCAAATACATATACATATATACATACACAAATGCATACATACGTATATATTATATACATACATCTTCAAAACAGGAGAAAAAACATTACAAAAATAAAATCCCAAACAAGGAAGTTTAATAAATTCAACATTTCCCCATCATTTGATTTTAAGATAGCCAATGTAATCTTAATCATAATAATATATGACCAGAGTAAATAAAATTGCTTTTGAAAAGAGCAGCTCAGTTATTAATTACAATATTATATTAATTAAATCTCATTAAATTGTTTTAATGCTTTGTGTATAAAATGAATTGACATTCAGGAGATACTGTAATGGCAAAAGCTCCCAATATAATCATTATTTGCCAAGATATGTCAATAAAATGACTAGAAGGATTTAAAGCCAAAACAAGCAGATTCATGTTTGTTTGTTTGTATGTGTGTGTGTGTGTGTGTATGTATATATATATATATATATGTATATATATATATGTGTGTGTATATATATATATATATATATATATAAGTGTAGGTCTTTGGTTATTCAGGTTTTCTCCCGCGTAAAATTGGAAGTGTCTTGGCGACGTTTCGACGAAGTCCCATTCGTCATCTTCAGGCTGGTGTTTTCAGCTTCGTGCTTCGAAGAGCAATGTGTGGTCTTAGCTGTTTCTTCCTTTTAACTGCCAGTGGGGGTATGAACTGATTGGGTGGGAGCTTGGCTGTGTTCTGATTGGGTGGAGGTGTGTTCTGATTGGTTAGGGGCTTGGCTGTGCTCTGATTGGCTAGGGAGTTGGCTGTGCTCTGATTGGCTGGGGGTTGGCTGTGCTCTGATTGGCTGGGGGAGTGTTCTGTTTGGGTGGGGGCTTTGTTGTGCTCAGGTTAGTCTGAGTTGCAGGGGGGCTACCTTGCTATTTTTTGGCTTCGTGTTCATGGTCGTACCTCATCTTCATGGTGGGTGTCAGTTTGCTTCATGTATGGATTGGAGGGGTTTAAAGTGGCTAATGATAGAACACAGCCAAGCTCCCACCCAATCAGTTCATACCCCCAGTTAAAAGGAAAAAAACAGCTAAGACCACACATTGCTCCTCGAAGCACGAAGCTGAAAACACCAGCCTGAAGATGATGAATGGGACTTCGTCGAAATGTCGCCAAGACACTTCCAATTTTACGTGGGAGAAAACCCGAATAACCAAAGACCTACATACAAACATCCGTGAAAACCTCAGAAAACATATAAATATAAATATATATAAGAAAAGCAAACACCAGGATAAAAATAAACAGGACTGTTTAATATAAACAAGCCTGCGAGTAAAACAGTTACTTACTGAGCTTTCATCAGCCAAACTACTGACATCATCAGAGTTAGAATACTAGGTGATTAGGGAGCTTGCCTATATACAGCTCCCTGTCTCTGCGCCCGGCTCCTCAAGTGCGTCATTAGCCCATTAGCAGCTTCCCCATTTGAAGAGCCATGGTCTTGCTTTTGTACTGTATGGGATGGCCATCTACTCCGTGGATTACCACGTTGTTTTTCCCATCTTCTGAGAGTCTGGTATGCTGGTAGGAGGTCTATATGCCGGTTGATGAAATTTTCATCCAAAAGCCAGGCTTCTTTAAGAAGGCGGCCACTCTTAGTGGTCTCACGAGATATGGTCTGTGCGTTTTCCAGATCGAATGTATGGTTCAAATTGTCCATGTGAGCCCACACTTGCGAGCGCTGCTCCTGCCTTTTGATTGCCAGTTCATGTTCGTGGACCCTCGTCCTGAGCCTTTTAGCTGTTTTTCCAGCATAATTGCAGGGACAGTTCCTGCAATTAATTCTATAGACTATGGAAGACTGTTCACCGTTGGGGAGCGGCTCTTTGGGATGCATAATCTGGGTTCTTAAGGTCTGCTCTGGTCTATGGGCAATCCTCACATTGTGGGGACCAGCAGCCGAGCCGTGGCACATAGACCTCCTACCAGCATACCGGACTCTCAGAAGATGGGGGAAACAATGTGGTAATCCACGGAGTAGATGGCCCTCCCATATGGTGCAAAAGCAAGACCATGGCTCTACAAATGGGGAAGCTGCGATCCCTAGGGAGGACAGCGAACTGGCAAAAGAGGAGGGGGGGGTGACACCACAATGAGATAGCAACTGGCAGGACTGGAGTGATAGGGCTGCAGATGAGGCAGCAAGAGCTAGTATGGGAGGAGACAACGAACGGCTTGGAAGGAGAGACAAAAAAGGAGGTGGGAGTATGAAGCAGGAACATCTGAATAGTTGTTCTTTGCAGGATCAGGGAGAGGGAGCTATAATCATCAGATCCACTAACAGGCTGCCAGATGAGAATCAATTTAACACATTGGACAGTAACATAGCTAATGGGCCAATGACACACTTGAGGAGCCGGGCACAGAGGCAGGGAGCTGTATATAGGCAAGCTCCCTAATCACCTCGCATTCTAACTCTGATGATGTCAGTAGTTTGGCTGATGAAAGCTCAGTAAGTAACTTTTTTACTCACAGTCTTGTTTATATTAAACACTCCTGTTTATTTTTATCCTGGTGTTCGCTTTTCTTATATTTTTATCGATATGCCCAGAATTCGCATTTTTAATGATATTAAGGATATATATATATATATTGACAATATTTACTGATACTAAATTAAATTTGTACAAAGGTTCTTACTTCATTATCTAATTTTTTATTACTGTATTTTATTTATTTTTCCATGAATCACATTGGGAGGCAAAAGTTAAAAGTGCTGGCAAATACTTGCAGCCAATATTCGTATGTAGCCACAATATATATTCAGCTTATTTTCTGAGGTCCCTGGTATACATATTCAATGTATGAGATAAATGTTTGGGATTTTTTTTTCTGAAGTTTTGGCAGATTAGGGTTTAGTGGAATAAAGCCTCACAAAAGTTAAAGATATTCATTTTACCCTTAAATCTCTGACTCTGTTTTTCCAATTTTGTGGAATAGTAAAAAAAAGCACATATTTTATCTTTTAAAGTGTCTTAAAATAGGCATGTAGCTGTACCCTGTGAAATCATGTCACAATCTATACTTCCTGAGAAACTGGGGATTCCAGAAAAAACTTTTAATTATGACCCCCAAGCTTCAAGAAAAAAAAAATGTCTTTCCTACATTGTAAAAGTAGTTCCAGTGGACAGAAAAATATTAGTTTACTTATTACATTACATTCCAACGACTAGTTCATTCAGCACAATGATTGCTAAATGAACATGTGATGCACATACAGAGAGACACACAAACAGAGGCTGCCAGATCAGTGGTTGCTGCTGTCTTATTCAGATAAAGTTTTCTGTACTATGTACTGTGCCTAACCCATTGCTTCTGTTTTTTGCCCCTTGCTTAAACAATCTATCTGTTATTGAGCTGCTTTTCTCTGGTGCACATGTCTAAAAAGTGCCAACTGAAAGTTAACAAATTCAGCTCTGTGACCTTAATTAGTTGATTAGAGCTCTCCCATTTCTTGAATGATGCCTGAAACTGACCAGACCTTAATCAGTTTCATACGGAAGGTTTCTGTTGTCAGGCACTAGAAATTTGTTTATAAATGTGCACCTTTACCAGAAAAGTTATTTTTGATTACCATTTATTATTATCATATTTGTGAATGGTCACTAATTGGGGAAGTCAGTAAATGGGGGTGGCTATAATAATTTTTAAAATGGAGTCATACACTTATCAGATTCTGGATGTTACATGTTTGGAATACTATGAAAGCCTGTTCAAAAATATGATACTGGAATACAGACAAAAAGAACCAGCCTGGGATATGGGTTAAGGTATCAGGATAGAAATCAGGAGATGCTGAGTTCTAGTCCTGCCTTGGCTACAAAGCCTCCTAGGTGACTCTGAAGCAGTCACTTTTTCTTTCAGCTTTTGAAAGGAGGCAATAGCAAGCCATTTTTGAAAGCCTGAAAAAAAATCCTTTAAGAACTAGTCCAGGCAGCTGATAAAAACAAGAATGATCTGAATGTAAGCATGCACATGCACACGTATACAAACAAGGGTATCTAATAGAGAGTGAAGATTTGTAATATAGACATCATGTGATCCTTTCATCTTGTATTTGTCAGCAACTTGGTTGCTGTGGTTTTTTTTTTAAAATTGCAGTTTGTACAATTCTCTCCATGCAAAGAATGTTGTAACCAAAAGTGTAACCAAAGCATGAATAACTACCAATAAATCAATGGAAGAGACACAGTTGGTGCATATTAATTGTGGAGATGCACTCTTTGTCAAAACCATCATTTGTAAATCCAGTGATTGATTAAGATGCAGACTGAGCTCTGTCAGGGAGTAAGATCACTGAGGGGAGACAGTGTTAACTGTGCACATCTGAATTTGAATGTCAGTTCATATCTTAAAAATAAGCCTTCTTTAAGTTTAAGCCAGAATTACCCAATTTCTGCTTAACAACAGAATAAAAGTCTAATAAAAATCAGGGTTGTCATGTTGCAGCACATGAATTACAGAGCAGGAAAAAAAGAGTAAGATGATCAATCATTTTATGGAGCCTTAAACGATTGTATGAAGCAGCTCAATGTTTTAGAGCTTCAGAAATCAATTCTTATATGATATGTGTACAAACTTTGTAATAAAACTAGCTCCTTACCTCTTTATTCCTGATAGTGTAGTTATGTTAACTAAAAGTGAAGCCCCTCCTCTTTACAACTGAAGTTTCTTTCAACATAAGGCCACTTGCATATTTTAACATTCTCCTTGCATATCTTTGCAGATATCCCAAACTTACTTCTGAATCTTTTGAGATAGTGTTAATTTATACTTTTATGTCTGAAAGCTTAGGAGATATTTTTAGGTGCCTCTGTAAAAAATTGTTAGTGTCAAATACTACAAAGCTTCAAAATCAATAATTCTTATCATAATTTTAGCCCCAGTTGGTTTCCTTACCATTTTATTGATAATATACAATATTAGTGAACTGGTATAAGATACATTTTATGCTGAAACCCATTAAATATATTTGATTCACGTTCAAAAATAGATAAGATGGGGGTTTTATTTTGCTTACTAGCTAGTGTTAAAACTTGTTTAATCAATATTACAGTATTTGCCATATGTATAAGCTAATAATCTCCTATAAGTAGTTATATGTATCTTAAAATTTGGATACCTGATAAAGTGCTTGCACCATACATATTTGTTCATCAATTAAGGCCAAGTGCCTTGACGGTTATACATATGTTTCTGTGGAATGGAGGGATTGTAAGTACCAACACTATGGTCATAGAAGACGTATAGGTTCAGTCAGAATTGCTTCTGAATCTTACCCTAACCCTAACCCTTTTTATCATTATTTAAAATTTGCTACTAAATAAGTAGATATTAGTTTTAAAAATTCCTAGTCCTAGTGGGATTGCAGATTAGAAATTATGTAAATAAAAATGAGCCATTTTAAAAACTGATATGGATTTGCCTTTTGACTGTTGTTCAGGAACAGATTTTTAGAATATACAGTAGTAACTTTTGAGATGTAAAAAAATCAGACCAAGTTGAATCACTTCATAATTCTTTTCACCTTTAATATATCATCTAAGCCCAGTTGGCTATCAATCTTTTCTATACCCTGCATTCCTAGAACACTTCTGATTTATTCTCTCACGCCTTACAAAACTTTGAAATAACAGCAACGAATTATGCATATACACTATAATTTTGCAAATCCAAGTTTTCGCACCCCCTGGAATATCGTCTCGCACCCCCAGGGGGTGCAAGCATCCCTGGTTCGGAACCCCTGATCTAAGCTGTACAGTTCAATTGGAAATAGATCTTTTAGGAGTAAAAATAATTTAAAAACCCAAAATAATGTGGCTGCATAAAAATGCATACATTTGAATTAATGCTTTGTTGAAGTACCTTTTGATTTTATGACAACAATCAGTCTTTGGAGCCTATCAACATCTAGTCTTGGGAATTTTTGCCTGTTCTTCCTTGCAAAAGCATTCCAAATCTGTTAAATTACCACCCTCCTTGGGTCACCCCATAGATTTTAAATTGGATTCAAATCTGGGCTCTGGCTGGGCCATTCCAAACCTTTAATCTTCTTCTTTTGTTGATTTGGAGGTATGCTTTGGGTCATTGTCATGCTGAAAACTGAAAATGTGCTTCATTTTCTGCATTTTAGCCAATGACTGAAAGTTTTGTAGCAAACCTGACTCAAATTTGGAACTGTTCTTAATTCTTTCTACCTTGAATAAAGCCTCAGTTCCAGTTGAAGAAAAGCAGCCCCAAAACATCATGCTGTCACCACCATGCTTCACTGTGGGTATGGTATACTTTTGGTGAAGCACAATGTTTTTGCGCCAAATACACTTTTTGAAATTATGGTCAAAAAGTTCAATCTCGGTCTCATCAGACTTTTATCAGACTTGATACAGATTTTTGCAAACTGTAGCTGGGGAAGATTGTTTTCTTTGTAAGAAAAGGCTTCTGTCTTACCACCCTGCTCCATAGCCCAGATATATGAATATGAGAGATTGTGATCACATGGAGTACACAACCCGTATTTGCCAGAAACTACTGCAGCTATTTTAATCTTGCTGCAGGCCTCTTGGCAGCTTTTCAGACCAGTTTTCTTCTTGTTTTTTTCATTAATTTTGGAGGTACATCTCATTCTTGGTAATGTCACTATTATGCTATATTTTCTTCAGATGTTGATGACTGTATTCACTGTGTTCCATGGTATATCCAATGCCTTGGAATTTATTTATTTTTTTGTTATCATTCTTCTGAGTGACAATGAGTTACAGACCATGGCTTTTGCTGTAAGAAGCAACTGAGTAAATGTCAGAAAAATCCTACTAGGCTTGATCAGAGTCACTTTAATTGTTGGCAGGTATGTAGAATTTATTGTCAGTTATAAAAGAGTGTGAACATTTATGCAATGACATTATTCTAGCTTTTTATTCTTATTTTCTCCCTAAAAGATTTGTTTTTCAGCTGAATTATAATATATGTATCACACACACACACACACACACACACACACACACTTTTGACCAAGCTTATAATGGATATTCTACTTTGATACAATATGTTAAAAATAATAGCAAGTCATCAGAACCTGGATAATATTTAAAAAAATAATGCCAAAGATAGAGATAAATAAGACAGACAGACAGACAGACAGATTCCTGTTTCTAATGTCATTAAACCATGCTTTTAATGTTCTACTTCAGCTCCACATGCAGGGGTTAGTCCAGCAGAATACTACCACCAGATGGCTTTACTAGCAGGCCAGCGCAGCCCATATGCAGATATCATTCCTTCAGTTGCCACAGCAGGAACAGGTGCCCTTCATATGGAATATCTTCACGCTATGGATAGTAAGTAATACAACTGTAACCAAAAAGATTAAATGAAGGTTCTGGTATTGTTGGGGTAAAAAAAAAACCATTACTATACAATTCACAACATAATGAAGTTTCCATGAAAATGGATTAAAAGTTTATTAAGTAGGGCTACCAGATTTGGACTGCAAAGATCCAGACAAGCACAAGATGGCAATAAAGGGTTAGAGTTTTCTGCATCTTTTAACTCCCATCTATTTTCTGGATTTTGCACCCCAGGTATGATAATCTTTTATTAAATATTATGAACTAAGTATTTCAGTTTTAAACAACTAATTTGTAATATTTCACAACAAGGTATTTTTGTATTTTTAGTAATAGTAATATTGCTTATCTTTAAACCATTTACCAAAAAGGAAGCTGAAATGTTTCTTTCACTATTATTCTTTTCCACGATCCCCGCATGTATTTTAGTAGACTATATTACACTTTAAAGAGTCTGTGGGCAAAACACCTACTTTTTACTCAAAGATATTTATTTTAAAATGCTTCACTTTCTGATTCATATACCAAAGAAATGGAAGCTGACATAATAATTAGTTTTTGCAGCTTTGCATTTTATACATATATAGATACATATATTCATATTTATACAGGGGATGTTATCTTATGTTATAATTACATTTTGGAAGTTGTGTATGTCATTTTGATGAAAATTAGATATCATGGTGTTTACACTGTCAAATATTCTTCGAAAAGATTCAGCTTGCAAAACATGACCAAGAGCAACATTTGCAACCAGTCACTTCATCATAATGCATAATGCACCAGAACTCACTCGTGCAATGAAGATATGCCTCTACTAGTCACTTTGGGTAGTTTTGGGCAGTCACTCTGTCATCCTAAAATTCCTTGTCTTGAACATGACGAAACTGGCTTTGAAGTACTCCTTGATATTGTCCTGAGCTGTTATTGATCTCTTTATATGTTACTCTGTGTCTGCTGTTCAGGCATAGCCTCTGCTCTATATTTGCATCAAAGCTTGATTCTTTCTTCTACAGTACCTCACTCCCATCCCGGCCTTCTGCTTGACTGAAGAAATCATTCCCTGATCTTTCATAAAGCAATGTGTGTAAAGTCATAATAGATAGGGTGGTTTTTTATTTTATAAACAAACAGACCATCAAGCAAAAAAATAAATGTGGAACAGAACATCTAGAAATTTGCTGAGAGCCATAAAACTGCTCATTTTCTCACTATAAACTGATGCAGCTAGTAATAGACACTTAATATTTGATGTCCAAATCTTCAGGAAGATATTCATAATCCTGACACTCCTGGTTGTGGTTATTAAATGACCTTGTGATTTATGTGGATGGAGTCCCAGGTAAGGAATGCAGATTGCCTCACAGAGATGGAGGAGACCCTAGGAGGTCCAGTGCAGACTGATGTGAATGTCTCTTTGCTCATAAGCTGCAATCCTCTGCTGAAATCCTAACAGGATTTTCAGTTCTGAGCAGAAAGAATCTTGCATGTGGTCTGCCCTGAGCCTCCCCAACTCCTTACCTTACTGTACTATCTTTTTGTTCAGCAACTGAAAATCCACGAACTCCTCCCAACCCCTCCAAGGCACTCTAGAATTCTTACCTTACTGTATTGCCTCTTTCCATAAGGACTGAAAAATGTATGGATTTCAGCCTTCTCTATTCTCTGGGGGCTCTTTGAAAAAGCTTCCTGCTGAAGGATTTCAGTTTCATGTCTTCTTGGATTTTGGCAAGGAGTTCTTTCAGCCAGTCCTCAGAGACAGAAGGGCTCCCACTTGTCTCTAGAGGCTGACTGAAAGGATTCTCTGCCAGAGGATTTCAGCTTCATGCCTTGTTGAATTTTGGTGTAGAGCTTTTTTAGCCAGCCCTCAGAGATGAGAGAGATCCTATTAATAGGCAGCAGGAGGTTTCCCTCTCAGCTTCTCCATTGACTTTCTGGGGATGCTGGCAGAGAAGATTAATCCAAATCATGTGATAATTGGGTACTTAACAACCAGTTATAAGTGCAAGCAGTTTGCTAAGCATTCAAATTGCAATCATGTGAGCCCATGGAATATGTGCAACATTTTGCAAGGTTCTGAAGTACCTTACAGGCCATTGTTAATTCCAACCATTATTAAAAAAATGATTGTAAGTTAAGCAGTATCTGTCCTTCATGAACATTAGTAGCTTGATCTTCCCCTCATTCTCCCATCTGATACATATTTTGCTATTTCCCCAGTAAAAATGTAAGCACAAAGATTACAGTACAGAAGAGAGGCACTCCTGAGTGCCATTTATAAATTTCATTTTGTCATGAAAAGGTGGGAAAGAAATTTCTCCTAAGAAGCATAATTGGTAATTGCATAGAGACACCAGATCATGCCTGCAAAGAATCTTAGATAAACAGATGGCAGCAAAGAGATCATTAAACTTTAACTCTTTGTTAGCATCTACTACAGTAGTTGTCTAGAATGATCAGGGCTTTTCAACTTTTCACCCATTGTACCACTTTTAGGATATGGCAGTATCCAAGTACCACCAGTCACCTAGCAAGGTGTCAAAAACTTGATAACCAAAAAAAAAAAAAGGAAAAAAGTAATAAAGTACAGGTAGTCCTCGACTTACAACAGTTCACTTAGTGACTGTTCAAAGTTACAATGGCACTGAAAAAAGTGCCCCCCCAAGCCACAGCCGAGCAAGACACCTGCCTGCCTGCCCAGCGGCGCTCTTCTTCCTGTCGAGGTTTTCATTGTTGTGAGCATTTATGTTGAGGATTGGCAATGGGGGTGCAGTGGGGGGGGGTGTTTGGTTTTTATTCCCCCCATCTGCTGGGTGGCTGCAGCAGGTTTTAGTCATTTCACATGACCCTGGGACACTGTGACCGTCATAAATATGAATTAGTTGCCAAGCATCTGAATGTAAATCACAAGATCCTGGAGATGCTGCAACATTCCAGCTAATTGGCGCTTCTTCTGGGCTCAGCAGAAGCGCCAGGATCAAGGCTGAGCTCCAGCTGGAGCCTGGCACTGATCTTGGCGCTTCCGCTGAGCCCTGACAGCCCTGCAGCTCCAGCCATCTCTCGCTCAGGCTTGTGTGGTGCTGCCACCGGTTCAGCTCATTCCCCTCCCCCGCTACCACTTTTCTAGGATGGTTGCATACCACCTGCCAGATGCCAATGTACCACACGTAGTACCCGTACCACTGGTTGAAAAGCTCTGATCTAGATATTGGCAGCTCAGATGTGGTAACCCTTACATTCATAGATCATGGCAGAATCTATAACGAATTCATAGGCAATCCTCTGAAAACCTTAGTTACAGGTAAATAACATATTTTCTGTTAATTGTTTGAAAAGTCATCATTTTGAAATACTGCAGAACCACCCATATTGTAAAGACTTATCTTTATGTAGAATTTTCTCAAATGAGACTGATGAGGTACACTATTATTATAATTCACATAAGGGAGTCTAATTTTAACATTCTGATTTTTAAAAAAGCTTTTTATTCTGTTAACCAATTCAGTTACAATCAACTCTCATAAATGAGCATCTAAAAAGTTCTAGATACACAAAATTCAATTCTGAGAAATTAATCCAAACAATTAAATATAGTAAACATTTTCTAAGGGGAAGCAATCTTCAGCTTGAATAGGAGCTTTATTATTTTTCTGTCCCTTTTTAGCAAGCTTTTTTGATTATTGAAATATGATTGACAGCTAGAGTAATAAATGCATACTAATATCCCAAATAGTTTCTTCTCCTTTATTCTACTCCAAAATGGTAGTCATGGATGGAATTCCAAAACAGATGTATCTATTCACAACCTCAAGAACACTAGAAAAAGGGTAGTTCTTTTTCTAGGTGTAAAAGGTGACTATTTTGGTGATCTATCATTGATATTTTTCTTTAGTTAAGGCACCTATTTTAGGTGCCTATTTTAACAGCAATTATTTATGTAAAGATCGTTTTCTGAAAAACAATACATTAGCAAGCTGACTGATTAAACAATCAGTAGAAAAATAAATTAGAAATTAACTATAAGGTCATTGTAACTTCACCTTCTCTATTTGATGAGAATTTGTTTAGTCAGACAATATAGTCTTTATCTAAACAAATAAGGCTAGTGTTTGTAAAAACTAATTAAAACTATTTCAACATGAATGTATAGTAAATTAATTTTCATTAAGCCAGAATTTGGATGCCCTACCCATTTATCATGCTGAATAAACCCTTTTCTTAAATTTGTTAATTATTGGGATTATTAATAAATTTAAATCTTGACTTTCTGCAGATTGCTTTATTTTTGTTTTTCTCATCTTAAATTGTGACAAAGGTTACAATTTACGATAGGAAAAATAAAAAAACAAAATAATTAGCAGAAAGTCAAGATTAACAACAATACCCTATGATTATATTTACGGCTAAATGTTACAATCTGTGTTACATTGTGTTAAAGGACCTTTGCCTTTTCCCACACATTTGTGTTTTTAAATATGCTTAACACATGTTTAAATTATTTTGAATCAGCATCTCTCCATTTGATTTGGATTTTGTTTTTAAATTTATATAACTATAGTCTCATGTCACTGGTTCCTTTTTTGCTGATAATAAATTCAATAACAAAATAAATAAAATTGTAAAAAAAAAAAACCCTAGTCCTTTCTAGTGTTCCTGACCTACTACTCACTGTGGATTAGAAATTTACCAAACCTAAAAGGTAACAATTGGATTTGTATATTTTAATAAAATCTTTACCCTAAATACCTTCTCATGCTAGAATAATAAAAATAAAATTATTCTTACTAAAGTATTGATTTAATTACTATTTAAATTAATGCTTTAGTAAGAATAATTGTATTACTTATTCTAGCGTGAGAAGGTATTTGATACAATATTTGATTGTATATAATCAAATAATATACCAATCATCTTAAATTTACCATCATCCTACTTTACATGAGACGTTTGCTGACAAGTAGCCATTACTATTCTTTATATTTATTTATTTGATTTCTTTATATCCTAGTTTTATTTTTCTATATCACCCGAGAGGACATGCAGAAGTTAAAGATACAAATTATAAAATATAAGAATAAAAAACAATACAATTAAATACAGTTACTGGGAAATATATTTCATAGCTTGAATCCACACAGAAGAGGACTATAGCATACAAGACAGGTAAGTTTCAAGAAGTAGGAGGTTCTTAAAAAGTGCCTCCCCAGCTAATTTAGGTAATTATGAAATAGTCGAGCCCCAGAGCTTTAAAGGTCAACATCAAATTATATCTGGTCCAATTGGAGTATAGTGCAAAACTTTTACTACAGTATGCTATGAATAGAAAGATCAGAAATGGTAGAAATACTGTCACAAAGACCAATCCCTTACTGTAATTGGTTAAACTGAAATCTACCAATACATTCAGGAGATCTAGCAGCGTTGTTCTCTATTTAGCTTCCATCATAGATTATTCAGGGTCAGTCTTCAGAGCAGTCAGAGCTATAAGTTCCCAAAATGTAATCCTGCATTTAATAGGTAACAACAGAAGTGTAAGGGAGTTGATGTTCCTGGGTAAGATGCTTTATTGTAGACCTAAAAGAAACCATATATATGCAGAAGACAATTCTGGAGAAAACAAAAACATCTTTGCGTCATTCTATCAACTAAATGATTCAAATACTTTTTCCATTTTGTCATTAGAGTCAATGATCTTATAGCCATTATTTTCCCAACCTTGAGATTAAAATCTATGTTGATGCTGAAAGTTTGTGAAATATTTAGAATTTTCAGTATTTCTGCATAAATATGATACATTCTGTTCTCCTCACAAACCCTAGAACTAGGTAATCCAGTTAAATAAATATGTCAGAAATATACCTGCACATTGAGAAAAATGACCAAAGCTACATATTTGTGTGACAAAAATATGTGAACATTTACTTTTGTATCATTCTCATTCATATACACATAACAGTGGTTTAGTGAGTTTATTAATATACACCAGCAATTCCCTTCACTAAAAATTCAGAATTGTCCCAATTAAGTCCATTCAAAAGCAGACCAATGGCCAATGAATCCACAAGGCTCATGGACTTGAAAGTTTCTCAAACAAGATAAACCCACCTGGCAAAATTAAATCCACAACACAAGAGTGTTCACAAGGTAAGAAAAATCCAGAGTTCATAAGGCACAATCCAAGTCAAGGCATGTTGTCAATCCAAAGCAAGGCAGGAATCACAATGACCAGAAAAAATGCTGCTAGGAAATGAACACATTGTTCCCAGCATCCCTTCCATCTGTCTGCTGTGCTAAATAGCCAGCTTCTGGTGCAGCCCATCAAGAAGAGCGAGGCTGCCTCCTCACAAGTAATCTGGCTGACTTCACTGCTCCTGCCTTTTCTCTGCCCTACGTGTTCTTGGATCAGGTGCAGAAGGCAGTTCTTCTTCTTCATCACTGACTGGCTACAGCTGCGTGCTTTCCCCACCTGAAGCCTCAAGGCTGTCCTGCTGCAGCTGTGCTTCAACCAAATCCCTCTCAGTCGGCTGCTTGGAACCATTGACCAACTCCCCTCCAGATGTGCCTGGAACTGGTTCATCTTCCTCCGAGCTGACATCTGGAGAGGTATCTGGGGAAGCGTCTGGGGGAGTCATCACAGCTTTCAGTAACTGGTGTGGCCCCTATGGGCAGCAATAATTGTAACTAAACATCTTGTGTAACTATTAATCAGTCTGCACATTGGCTTGAAAGTTTAGTCCATTCGTCCCTCCAGAATAACTTCAACTCAAAATGTTAATTCCTCACATGATTTGTCCACTTTCTTCAAGACCTTCAACAACATTTCTATAGGATTAAGGTTAGGAGATAAACTTCTTCTGCCCTAGCCATATAAATGTTAAGAGAGCATTTTCATCCAGGAATAAATTGTGAATGGTAAATATTTTGCTAGACCCAGACCAGATGTTAAAAAGCACAACCTTTGCAAGGAGGCTCCTTCATTGTCTCCTTGACTTTTGGTAAGGCTGCAGTTCAACACCTCCTTACTTGAAATAGCCAGGTTGCAACCTTCTACCATATCTCTCTCACTAGTTACTATTGAAATATTTGCTCCATTCTCTTCTCTCCAGTATCTCCCTGAACAATCTTGTAATAACAAACCATAATTTAATAATATCAGCAAGATATTGCAATTCTTTTCATTAAAATCTCAGCTTTCTTCCAGTTTTTTTTTTTCAAAAATAGGGTGCCAAAGGGAATCCTCTTTACTTTTTCCATAACGACCTCACAATTTTTAGGCCTCCATCCTTTGCATTTCGGAAGCAAATGCAAGTTCTATATAGAGAGACTCCAGTTGGGTAAGTCTTCAACAGTTATCATCCTGCAAACACTGCTGGCAGAACTCTGGTACCTTTGAGCATTCTAGTGGAGAGTGTTATTGCAGAATATCCTGGGAAGGGAAAACAATACATAAGATATCCAAGAAAAAAAGAATAGTGGAATGATATATTTTTATCAATGGAATGAAATGTGAGAATATGGAATAACCCTGACTTCAGCCTGTGAAGAAATAAATTGTGAGAGAGGCTGTGCACGTTCACATGCTTTCAGATGCAAGTTGCAATGATTTAAGAAAAAAATGAGGGAGAGAAAGCTTAGGCCTTAGGATGCAGATTGGCTGCAAACAGAATCTGTGTAAAAAGTTGATTTATACAGCTGCAATCTCACTTTATGGTTTCTTGGTATTTGTATAGGTTTTGTAAGAAGTGCCTCATTTAGCAAAATGATGTAATGCATCCTTTACAAAGTTATGTTTTAAATGAATTAAAGAATATTTAGTGATATGCAACAGAGTCAGATTTGATTGTGCATCAATATAATATTCCTAGTGGCAGCAACTATCTTGGATAGAAATTGTGCTTGTTGGGATTAGATGACTATGGAGTCAAGAGTTATAATTTTCCTTGCTTTATAGTCTGAGGAAGAGGAACTATTTAAGCATAGTGTTTGATTCGCTGCTTAAACAAACTTTCTTGTAAATTTTGATAACTGTTTTCATTCAAAAGCAAGGAAAGGACACCATCATTTCAAAGAATCTTAAATTCTGCATTAAATCAAGTAGCAGACATCACACAGCAAGTAGCAGGACATAAACAAAAGATGAAAAGAATAAGAAGGTTGGGGAAGGGGATTTTCCACTCACTTGTCAATACAATATCCTGAGCAAGACTGGAGCAACATGAGTGTTTCTAGTTTTATAGACGAGAAAAAAGAAGAGAATCACAAACCAGATGCTGGAGATAACTGACAGTCTTGCTGGCAGTTTTATCTGAAGAATTATGGCCAAAGATTTCCAAAATGAAGCAAATATTGAATATAACTAGACTTCAGATAATGTAATCATGGAACCAATAAAGCAAGAATTCAAACAGCAAATGTAATATTTTGAGCAAATCCACAGTAATTTTTTTATTGGTGGCTTGCCCCTTTTTTTCACACATTATAGACCAGACGTTGTTAGAGATTACAACATATTCTGAGTAGATTATATGTTTCATCCAACAGGGATGATTTTATTTTCTTTACACAAAGAAATATACTGAAGAGTAGAAAAAATTACTTGGCTTGGAAGATTTACAAAAGTGTTTGCTAAAATAAATATGTCACTTTGGGACATATTAAAATTGAGTATAATCCTATAGATTGGGTAAAGTAATATGTAATTAAAGCTTTTCCACTGAATCCAATTCTTTACAGTCATTAAGGCCATGTTTGAGAATTAAAATTTAGTAATTTTTTTTAAACTGAAAATGAATTTCAGAATTCTGAAAGCTTCCAAATGTTGTTTTTAAAAACTATATATCTATATATCCAAACATAACCATAAGAAAGTACTGGTACATTTAACAGCAAATTCCTATCGTTATATAGGATTGTTTTATAAATGAAATAAATTTATGCTATCTTAAAACAATATTTAATATATTGTTTAATTTAATATTAAAATAATATTTAGGATACTGGATATTTAGAATACTGGTTTAATCTAATATTTCTTCTAATCTTTTTTGCAGAATTGCTAGGAAGCTTTAAGTTTTATTTCATTCTAAGCCTCCAGGAGAAAATATAAAATATAAATACCTATAGATATTTTGGAAGAATTTTTATTTTATTCATGAACAAAACATGCATCTTGATTTTCTTTATGTTGAGTGAAAGCTTTTAGCAATTTTTAGAAAAGGTTTTGAGTTAACTACTAGCTTAGATTTGAACCACTCCATCTCCTTGCTTCTAGTGAATTAATAAAATGAAAATCTAAACAGCTATCAGATACATAAATCATTGGAAATGTGAAAGATAACATATAAAGGTCTTTTCCCTTTGTTTAGCAATTTATCATTTTGCTAGCACATTAACCAAGAAAGCTTCCTTGAGGTAAGCAATGGAAAGATAAATGTTTTTTTCTTAATTTTTCTCAGTTGTACTAGTAGATCATAAGTGAAAAGAGTGCAGTTGTCAAAAACATGTACTATTGTTGCAACTCTTTATATCCACTGCCAGTAGCATTAAAAAAAGGAGGATTGGTGCTCTGATAAATAATTGGTTTTTTTATACAACAGGTACTAGGTTTTCAAGTCCCAGGTTACCAACAAGACCAAGTCGAAAACGAACATTGTCCTTATCACCGCTGTCTGATCATAGTTTTGACCTTCAGACCATGATCCGCACATCTCCAAACTCCTTGGTGACAATTCTGAACAATTCCCGTAGCAGTTCTTCAGCTAGTGGCTCTTACGGGCATTTATCTGCAAGTGCAATAAGGTAAATCCTGACACATTGCAAGAATTTTCAGTATACAGAATATATCAGTCTTGCAAAACTTCATAAATCATTTTACGAACAACTTTTTGTACTTTCATTTCAAGCAACTATATCTGGGATCAAGAAATTAATCCTCCCCAAAGATATCGTATTATTTAAATATCCTTTTTTAGGAAATTATGAACACCAAAATTAAAAGATCCTGAGCAATCAAAACCATTTAAATGAAATGTATTTTAGGAGGAGATATAAAGAATACAACATATTCAAAGGAAGTCTATTCTAAAATGCATGACGATTTTAAAGAGTTAGGGTTAGTGTTCAAAATAATGTTTTTTAGAATCCTGTGCAGAATAGGATTTTTTATGAGAAAATAATCTCATAAGGCCTTTGATTTTCTTTTGTTATTGTTTCTTGGTGACTGCTATTCTAGAACAGATTGGTTATATATGATACAATATATAGCAATTTAATACAATTTAGTTATTTTCTTTTAAAGCTATCTAAATTAGTAATTATCATCTAGTGAAATCATGTTCTATAATCTATGCATTTTAAAAAGAAATTCAGTTCACTATTTTGCAATCTCTCATTCTTTATTTATTTGACCAGGTTTGAGTATTGCTACTGACTAAAGGTGCATCTAAATGTTTTTGAGCTACTGGAAAAATGACTGTTTATGAAAGCTAACACTGATAGTTATATGAAAAGATTAATTTCATCACAAGACATTTTGATGCATAACTAATCCTTGATAAAAGATTCTACCTTGGGCAGAAAGAGAAGACCTTGATTAATGTTTTGTTCTTGATTGCCTCTGTATAATATACAAGTATCTCCTGTATACAAGTAATATAGTTACTATTATTTTTGATCATGTCAAAAGACAAGAAAGCTGAATAGGCACTTGGGGGAAATTTAATAGCCGTGGGAAGAAAGTAGGAGAAGGATCTTAAAGCCCCTGAATGAAGGCAGGATATAATTGGTGTGCCTGTATGTGTGCCTGTGTTTGTGTGTGCATGTTTATGTGTGTGCTTGTATTTCTCTATGTATGTGTTTATAGTACACACACACACACACATACACACAAATTTATCATTACTTAAATATAGAAACTAAGAAGTATAATTGTATGTAATATAAAGGCTTAAAAATGGGACGTTCAGCTTATTTTTTATTCCAGGCAACTGGCAGTTTTCTTGACAAGATTTCCAGACACAGTTTGCCATTGCCTCCTTCCCAGGGCTGAGATAGAATGATTGTTGCAAGGTTACTCAGTTAATTTATTAGCTAAGATGGGATTAAAACTCCCTGTCTTCCAGGTTTTAGTCTGATGCTTTAGCAGCTAAATCAAACTGGATGTTTGCATATTCTTGTGCTATTCAGACAACAAGCAAGGAAAGCATGCAATTAAGCTTAATTAGTTCCTTTGTATTTGTACATATACTTATCTAATTTCACAGTTAGCTTACTATAATAAGTTATGCCCAACAAAGTTATTCAGGTTACTGTGCCCAACAAGGCTAATCAAATAACTGTGCCCAACAAGGCTACTCAAATTGCTTTAAGTATTGCTGCCCAACTAGGCACCAATACTTAACATACACTGTCAACACAGGTGATCAGGCTGTGTTAGAGTGGGCTGGGAAGCAGACTCAGGGCACCCCCTGCTCCAACAAGAGTCATCTCAAACTTTGGGGTGTGGGTTCATTCCATGTGTATAATACATCTTGCCCCAATCATATCAGGAACTTTACATCCTCACTCCTTGTTCCAAGATTCCATAAAAAATGCAATCTACTACATTCTGTACACCCACTGATGTTCTACCTGGTATCACTATTAATAAATATGCATACACACCATTCTTATCAGTAGTACAGACATTCCAGCAACATGAATTTCCTAGTGAGTTCATTAAAAAGTTAACTATGGATGTATACAGAAGTCCATAAAAAGTTCATATTACAGATCTTCTTATTCATAGCTAATGTAGATATTAACTAATATCATATTTGTGAGATATTCATAACATATAGCATAAAAATATAACATATGCCCTCTCTTGAACTATTGCAAGAGGAAGCAAGCAGTAATTCATTATTTAGCAGAAGAATCAATAGGTCTACTTGGTTTAAACAAAGAACAACAAGTAACTAAAATCAAAACAAACAGAAAAACAATTCCAACAAATATATTTTTCAACCAACCAAAAGGAAGCCAACTTGTTAGCGTGTCCCAAATAGTTATGAAAAAGTTATGCATCTTCTCCCAAAATTGTCTAGCATCAGCTGTAAGACCAACAAGTTGATAAATTTTATAAACATCTTCTTCAATCAGTCCATAATTGTTGACATACATGCAACAAGAATGGTTCATCATTACACACACTCTTCCTTGTTTGGCCAGCATACTATCAAGGACAATCCGATTATCCATAACAATTCATGCCAGTGAATCGATCTCTTCTTAAAGATCTATAATGGCTTTCCTGGTAGTATTTAAACTTGTTTCCAAAAGCATAGAGAGGTTATGAACAAGGTGTATTGATTTGCTGGAATTGCTGATAACCAGGAATAAATTCTTGGGCTAGAAAATCATAACAAACCAAGACCATTTATATCTCAGTGGAGAATGAATAAATGCAGATTGTAGGCTTTTGTGCAGAGAAATTAGAGTTACATAATAAGCAAGAGTACTGCAGGCCACTTTAGCTGACTGTGTTCAGCAGGTCAGCGGTTCAAATCTCACCGGCTCAAGGTTGAGTCAGCCTTCCATCCTTCCGGGGTAGGTAAAATGAGCACCCAGATTGTTGGGGGCAATGTAAATATATATATACATTGCTTACTGGTGTACACCGCTTAGAGAGTGCTTGCACTTAAAGCGGTATATAAGTCTCATAAATAAATAAATAAATAAATAAATAAATAAATGTACAAGAATCTTTCCAACTCCCAGGAAGGATTTTAAATCCTCCTTTACCACATGCCCAAATAAGACCTGGAGGAGGAACTGTTCCATATCCTTTGTATGTTCTCTGAACAAAATACCAAGGACAGTGTGGATTCAACCTTTTTGAATCATTAAAACATTATTTAAACCCACCAGTGTGATTAGTACACTGGGCAGCACTCCATAGCTGACTGCATATATCCAAATGAGATGTAATAAAAAGATTACTAAGTTTGTCAGTAGTGAGTTTACACTTTTCTAATTTAGTCTTTCTGATACGTCCCCATCAGCCAAAAGAATTTAAGGGATACTGGGACATGTTGCTTCACCAAGATATATTTCCTGGGAAAAATACGGTGTTGTCTGGACATTGTTCAATAATGATGTTTGCTCCATCACGAGCTAACCATTGATCCTTGTTTAATTGCATGATTAAGCCTTTAGACATAGCGGGTAAAAACCCTATCTTAACCAAACCATTAAGTTGAGTAATCAAAACCTTAGGAGTTAGAGTCAATCTCCCTCTAACAATTCCCATTGGGACCGTAGGGCTTCTATGATGTTCAACAGTTACTAATTATTTGAGCCAAGTGGAGATAAGTGGATTTCTCCTTCAAATGACAATACCAACAATCAGACATATTAATAGCTTTTTAGTAAACAATGTGACTCTATACTACCAATTTGTTTCCCTTTTAACATTATATCTAGAAAAAATCATCAGCAAGAATATTAATAGACAGTAAGTTCCTTCTTTGATCACTGCTATGTGCTAAACCTGAAAGAAGTATAAAAGGATAAATCAATTTGAAATTAAATCATGTGTGATGGTATTGGATGGAAGATTCCTGAACTTATCCCTCTTCTAGTTCAAATTTTGTGCATAGTACAAGTAGTTTGAAGAGTTGTTTCTACAAACAAAACACAGAAAAAAAGAAACAAAACAAAACAAAAATAAAAGAAACACAAGTTCAAAAAGTGCCTCCTGAAGCTGTGAATGCTCCAACACTGGAAGTTTTTACAAAGAGCCTGGACAGCCATTTGTCTAAAATGATATAGGGTTTCCTACCTGAGCAGGGGGTTGGACTAGATTACCTCCAAGGTCCCTTCCAACACTATTATTACTATTGTTACTGTTATTATTAAATACAGGAGCCATATGGTCCCATGCAAATGATAACTCTTATTTCTATATCACATGAGCCACTTACATAATCTCTTGAGAGAACATATATGCAAGAGCCATTTCCCAAGATTATTTCTGGGGTAGGGAAAACAGTACAATCAGTCCACATCCATAAACCATCATTATTGTGGTGGAGATCTGTCCAGTAAGATTCCGGTGCATTAAAAAAAAATAAGAGATCCAGCCAGTAATCCAGAACCGATCTCATGGCAACATTGGTATGCTTCAATTCGTTGCCTGTTTAAAATATTTAAAAAGACAATCATCCATACCCACTCCAGTCCATTTTGGACACAAGGGCAAATATATCACTTGCCTAATACAAGCTCAAGACCCCTGTCAATATTGTCCATAATCTCCATGATTCTCACACAATACTTCACAATCACAAATTGGACCACAATCACAGCAATAATAACAACAAAAACAACCACACAGGCAATAACAGAATTTACACATTTACCATCTAATCCTTATAGTCTATAGATCTATATTTTCAGTTTCTAAAGATGTTATTTCAAGTTCAAAGATAGGTTTTATTTGCAATAATCCTTTCTTGTTTTATGTGTTATTACCAACAGCTTTGTTCTCCTCCTGGGGTCTCCTGGGATTCTCAAGGGAAGCCTTGTGATAGATGGTAGTTTGATACCACTACCCTTTCGTATCTTTCTAAAGCAGAACAATATTATGTTTAGTTTTCATTGTTCCTGGAAAAATTTGGCAGGATGCATTCATGACATCTGTTTAATCTGTGGTAGGGAAGACTTCATTTCTAGAAAAAAAAAATTATGCCTGAGCATCATCGTAAACGGGCTTAATCTGACTGCGGTGTATCCATTTTTGATTGTTTAAAAGATAGCTG